CCAAATGTGTCAAATTAGGAAGACTCTGGTCCCCAGTGAGAGCAGACAGAACAGTCGGTCTGTGTCCTGTGCCACGGAGCGGCCGTTGTTTTTCTTCCTGACGTGTGGACCGCAGGAGTCGCCTGCGTCTCCTTTTTATGGCTCATAACATAGCATTAGAGCGCAGGGCCTGAGGTGTGTTCATGTTCACACAAGGACAAATGTGACCACACGTGGAAGAGGAGGGAGCGTCGGAGACGTTCTGGCTGAATCGGCTGTTTGAGCCCAGGGTTGAAGACCAAACACGGAGCGTCGGAGCGTCGGAGCGCCGTCCAGCTGCGATGATTCAGAGCTGTTTATTCCTGAAAATCAGACTCTTCTTGAAGCCTGGAAATCACAGTCCACACTGAGGAGAAAAAAAAAGAAACTCCTCCAAACTGTGTTGTCTGAAACCACAGCAATAAAAGTTTATAAAAAGACGTTAAATGTCAACAGAGAAGCTGCGACGACTGAAAACAGAAAGGTTTACAATAAATAAGACTAAAAACTGAAGTCCAAATGTCCCACAGTCCTTAAATGTCACATCACTTTTTGTTGTATATTCAACAAAATGAAGGCAGCGAAGGATTCATGTGTCTTTGTATCTTTGTAGAGTAGAGTAGGGCTTTATTCATCCCCCTTGGGGGAAACATACTAGTACAGTAGCCAGTGGCAGTGCAGAAAAAGAGAGAAGAGGAGTTAACACAATAAATAGAGTAAAAAGAACTAAAAAGCAAAAGGCACTCTAAAATTAAAGTAAACCTTTAGAAAAAATATACATAATAAACAAGAAAATATACATATTGTATCTTTGTATCTTCTGTCTACTGTGGTGTTGTCATGGAACTTGTTTTTTCACAGTAAAGAAAAAACTTCAGTATTGAAGAACTGTGTTCTACTCAACGTCGCCCCCTGTGTCTCTGGTGCATTTTAAATGATTTGTGACTTGTTTTTTTTTTTTTCTTTCCTCTTCAGAACTCCATCAGACACAACCTGTCCCTGCACAGCCGCTTCATTCGCATTCAGAATGAAGGAACGGGAAAAAGTTCCTGGTGGATGTTGAACCCTGAAGGAGGGAAGAACGGAAAGTCCCCGCGACGCAGAGCCGCCTCCATGGACAACAACAGCAAACTGGCCAAGAGCAGAGGAAGAGCCACGAAGAAGAAGGTACGCTCTGGACGGTGACATGCAGTTCCTCTACCCACCTGCAGGGGCACAGTTCATCACTAGCTAAAAACCACGAACCGACGACAGAACCGTTACCGTTTTCAGTTGTGATGTTTATAATGATCTTTGCATTTCAATCTGTGACTTTTCTCAGATGGCCCTGCAGGGGGAGGCAGAGGGAGGAGGGGGGAGTCCTGGTTCCCTCTACTCCAAGTGGCTGGGGAGTCCAAACTCTCTCAGTAACGAGGACTTTGAGTCCTGGAACTCTTTTAGGACACGCACCAGCTCGGACGCCAGCACTCTCAGCGGTCACCGTTCACCCTTCCCTCCGGAGCAGGATGACCTGGGGGAGCCAGAAGGTCACATGATGTACCCCGGGGCAGCGGGGGCCAAGATAACCTCCACCCTGCCCAGTCTGTCTGAGATGGGCGGGTCTCTGGGCCAGGATGAGTCGGAGATCGTCATGGGAACTCTGTTGGATAATCTGGACCTGCTGTCGCCCAAGAACCCCAAGGTGGCGTCTGACTCCCCCAGCATGCTTCAGAGCGCCCCCTACAGCACAGCCACCTTACCCCCACTGTCGCAGCAGGATTATCGTAAATGCATGTACGGCCAAGTGGGCATGGAGCCCCGCCCCCCTGCCCCCATGCAGACACTTCAAGAAACCAAGGTGGGCTTCGGGGTCTACGAAAACCAATATGTCTGCCCTCAGGGACTCCTCAAGGAGCTGCTGAGCGCGGAGGCCGATGGCAGCAGGGACATGATGCCCTGCAGGAACGCACTGGTGCCTCAGGTGGGGAGGGGAGGGTGTCTGATGCCCACCTACAGCAGGCAGAGTCACGTCGGCGGGGGGGTGAAGATGATGAACCTCCCACACCCACTCACTGTCCTCAACCAAGGACCTTCGACCTCCAGGGACTTGAACAGCTGTAACATGATCCCACTGACGGGTCCTTCAGGGGCCCCTCCTGCAGTGACCGGCCCCAGGACCCGGGGTCAGCCTGCGCACACACACATGAACTACGGCCGGAGCTACAGAGAACTGACGTCCGTCCACGCCCACGGTCACCACCACCAGGAGCGACTGCCCAGTGATCTGGACAACATGTCCATCGAGATGTTTGAATGTGACATGGAGTCCGTCCTCCACGACACCCTCATGGACGGCGGGGCCTTGGACTTCAACTTTGACCCTGCAGCTGCCTCTCACGGGTTTCCCCAAAGGGTAAAAGGCAACTCTCACAGCTGGGTGTCAGGCTAGGACGGGCTGGGGTTGACACCAGGTGAGACTGGACGGACAAAACGCAGAGTTTAAAAATAAGCTCTTTACACGTCTTTTCACACCGGCCTCTCTCTCTCTCTCTCTCAGGATTGGTCAGAGTCTTCCTGTAGACCACCGACTGAAGACTGCTGACCCAGACCAGACGTCAACACCACCAACATCATTCACAGCATTCTCCAGTTCATTCTAAATATCTGGGGGTTGCACCTTTATGTGGAACCGCATCATCCTTAAGAGACCAATAGAAGTCACTGTGGCTCAAACGTTGGCGACGGGCCTGACTGTGAGTATTTGAAGTAAATGTAAATAGTTTGGATTGGAGTGGGTATGAGAATGGGACCCACCTGGAGGATGAAGCAGAGTATCATCTGCATATTGAATGAGTCCGACTGAAGTCAAGTCACTTCAAAAGAAATGATGTTCTATTGTAGAATTATATATATATATATATATATATATATATAAATAAATAACAACACTTCCTTTTCTGACAAATACAGTTTCCTGTTGTTTAGTGGCTAGAATTTAAAAAAAATGTCGTCGCTGTCACGTGTTATTTTTCACACCAACCTCGACAGGATGGTGAATGCGTGGGTAAATCGCTGTATCGTCCACGTACTGACCTGTTTCAACATGTAACTGTATAGTAAATATTCAAGAAACTTTCTGAGGGAAGTTGAAGTAGTAAAGTAGAAATAACTCCACAAAGCTACTTTGATCACATGACCTGGTACAGTACTGTAAAACTGAGAGTAAAGAAGTAACGAAAGAAGTATCAGCCATATTCAACACATACTGTATCAACGTATTTATTTTACATTTTGTAAATGTAGTTGTCGACTTAGCGTTGTTTATACTGTAAATATTGACCTGAGTGACCTGGTTATTACTGACCTGGTTATTACTGACCTGGTTATTACTGACCTGGTTATTATTAACCTGGTTATTACTGACCTGGTTATCACTGACCTGGTTATTATTAACCTGGTTATTATTGACTTGGTTACCACTGACCTGGTTATTACTGACCTGGTTATCAGTGACCTGGTTATCACTGACCTGGTTAGTATTAACCTGGTTATTATTGACCTGGTTATCAGTGACCTGGTTATTATCAAACTGCTGTGTTTCGTATCAAACTTTGAGCTCCTGTTAATGAAGTGGTTGAAGTGGACGACCAGGGCAGTGGACGACGTCGCTGCTGCTGCGAGAACTACATTTGTTGACAAAGACGCGGTGAGTTCTGCTGCAGCTCTTCGTGCCTGAACTCTCTCTCAGTCTGGTGACGTTTGTAAATTAGATTTTTTTATATATATATATGAAGGTTTTCAATGACTTTGAAGGATTTAACGTAAGAAATATTTACTCTGTTTGATTGTCTTGAAAATATATGTTTACATGTTTCAGTCCAACACATATCAACACATATAGAAACAGTACCTCAGGTATATTTTTACTTGGAAATATTAAAGGGATTTCCTTTTTTATTTTCCTCATTTTTCACGTCAACAGTTTTGTACATTTTTTTATATTTGATCAATGCTATGAAAAAAACGGTTTCATACGACTTTTATCTGTATCCATTATTGCATCGTGCTTGAGGATTGTACTGGTTAGTTTGTAGTAAATGTTGGTTTTAAATTAAACAGCGATTAAAAGACGTTATTTACTCTGGGTTGGATTTTTGTTTGTTTATTCCAGTCTGTCCATGAATTTAATGCCTTTCACGTTTCATTTCATGCGTCTCCACAGTTTTTCAGACCTGCTGCAGCAGGCATGTCCACAGACAGCCCTGGGGTCCTTCACACCACACTTGGTCTTTTAGAATTTTTTTTTGCTAAAGAGGAAGAATGACCAACACAACTGGGTGAATAACGCTGAGTCATGACAGCGTTCATTAACCCTTCACCCACGCTCTCACTGTGAGTCTGCTGGGAAATAAGAAATGACGGACATTTAAAAAGGTACCAAAACAGATACACCGGGGGGCGAGAGTGAAGCCGGGCAACTGTTTAGTTCAGTGGTTCTCAATCATTTTTCTGTTATGCCCCCCGCCCTTGGGGGCAGAAATTTCTTCATGCCCCCCTGGTACCTCACCACGCCCCCCAGGGGGCCCCGCCCCCTCTATTTGAGAAGTACTGGTTTAGTCTATGTTGAGCTAACTACGTGAACCAGTGATGACGCTGTTGACTCTACACTGTCTTTTGAAACTTCCTCTTCTTCTTCTTCTTCTTCTTCTTCTTCTTCTTCTTCTTCCTCTTCATCATCTTCTTCTTCTTCTTCTTCCTCTTCATCTTCTTCTTCTTCTTCAAACCTCAGTTCTTCTGTGAGTTGCTGCTGTTTCTCCACGGGAGTCGACCCTGTCACCAGACTGGAGCTGTAATGTCATTTCACACTGTGGGTTTCGACCCCATCACCGCTGCAGGACATATCTGCTCCAAACACAGCACCAGCTACAGACCTCCTCCTCCTCCTCCTCCTCCTCCTCCTCCTCATTTTTCTCCTTCTTTTTCTCCTTCGTCTTCATTCACACTTCATTACTGCTGTGTATTTCTGACGCTCACAGGAACCGTTCAGTGTGAGTGCAGTTCTTTCAGCCGATGTTATCACAGGGAGGAGAACGCGTGTTCATACACAGAGTAATCAGAGAAACTGAAGAACCTCATTCACTTCAACTGTCAGGTCTCTGTGTGGAGAACAGAGAACCTCTCAACTCCATGGGTGTAGTTACCTTTTCTGGCCATTAGAGCGGCAGACTGCTGATCACTATCAGAGCACATTTTCATTCCTTTCCTCCCAGAGTTTAACGACCTGAAATGTTAAAAAAGGAAATTCATTTGACACGATGCGCCCCCAAGGTGATGCCGCCCCCTACTTTGGAAACCACTTATTTATAATGTGTTATGTTGTTTCAAATCTTAACACTGAGAGTATTTTATTTTTTAATTTTGTATTGATTTTTTTTTTCTTTTTACAAATTAGCGTCTTAAATGGCTGTCGTTAAGAAAGACTTAACACTGAGAGGGAACCGCAGATCACATGATCATCACATGATCATCGCCTGATTAGAGTCAGACTCCTGAGGTCATCATGTTTATTGACCGGTTTGTTAAACAGTTAATTCAGGTGTTGAGATTGTGGATTTGGTTTTGACTCTCAGTCAGTTTCATAACTGACATTAACATCAACCTGGAGACGAAGACGAACCTGTGTTTGACGCCCAACACAGTGAATCAGATTATTCCTCAGCATGTTTGTATAAACCAGGCGGATCTTTCTAGAGGTTTTCTCCCCCAGGTGGTGGTTAGACCTGAATAATCTAACAGTGAAGCTGTGGCACAAAGACCAGACATTATGGGCTTTAGAGCAGAGGAGCAGCACTAACGTCTCACAGCGTATGCACACGCACGCCACATCTGTGTGTCTCTGACAGGGAGGGGACGGTGAGGTGAGCTGATGAGGAGGAGGAGGAACTGGCAGCAGCCTGTGGATCTGCATGATCTGACCAGGAGGAGGAGGAGGAGACGCAGACAGGAGGTGCAGGTTCAGGCCTCTGTGAGTGAGGACTGGATCCTGGTCCAGGTCAAAACCATCTCCCTGTCAAATACAAATGAAAAAAACATAAGTAAATACAGCTGCTAAAACTCATCACTTCAATTTTTGTCAATAAATGTTGGTTCATTTTGAGAAGTAAATAGTTCGACGTACGGAGATGATTTCCATGTTTCCTCCAGCACCTCATCCGACAGAAGTTTTAATATGAACATCCTTTTGTTTCGTCTCATTACAGCTGGAAAATTTGAAAAATGTGACTCCTCATACACTAATGCACCAAAAAAAAAAAAAAACCCTAATGAAATATATTCCACATTTAGGATATGACCTTAGTGACACAAATCATGTGCAGCACGTTAAAAAAGATTTGGTGTTGTTGAGTGAAGCTACTGCACGTGGCGCTGCTGTTCTACTGTGGTCATCACATATTATATAATAATAATAATCATAAAACAATCATACTGTCAAAATAGCTGGAATTACCTTTTATCCTGAAGACGCAGTTGTATTGAACAGATAAAAGTAATAACTTAGATTAACAACAATAAAACAACATGTTTTATTTCCATTTCTATAATCTTTTATTTCAGGCTTCATCAACCATATGTGTTTGGACAAATGTACGTTTTTTTTCAGTCACACACGACCATTTTCACAGGCTGTTCCACATGAGGTCATGATGGGCAAAATATTAAAGTTTAGGGCAGAAAGAAACCATGGTGAATAACAGTGGAGAGAGAGCGACGGGGCCGCCAACGAAAGAAGTCACTGAAGGCGGAGGAACACCACCATCTAGCGGCAGGAAAATGTTATTGCATCTAAGCTCTAACTTCTATTGAGTCCGAACTATTCTTTTTATTTCACATTAAATACAACACATACAACGGGAATATAAAACAACGACACAAATACAATTTACGTCAGAACATCTTCGACTGAAGAAGAACAGCAACGTCACACAGCACGAACACTGCCGTTCATTCAAGTTTGAATGTAGAGATACTTCCTGTTTATAACACTCATGTCCAGTAGATGGCGGTAATGTGACTTCAGATTGGCGGACTTAGAACCCCTAAAGAAGAAAGGGAGCAGAAACGGACGGAGGAAAAGGAGGAAGAGTAGATAGATGATTTTTGTAACACGTCCTTACACTGAAGGGTGACGACACAGAGGAGACGATGACGATTCACCGCCAGTCTGACGATTAATATGTTAATAACGCTGTGTTACGTCTACATGTGGGTGCGCTTCCATAAGTGCTACTCGGTGCTGATCCGTCAGACTCTGTCCAGACTGAAGAGCAGCCGGAGCAGCCAACGAAAGAAGTCACTGAAGGCGGAGGAACACCACCATCTAGCGGCAGGAAAATGTTATTGCATCTAAGCTCTAACTTCTATTGAGTCCGAACTATTCTTTTTATTTCACATTAAATACAACACATACAACGGGAATATAAAACAACGACACAAATACAATTTACGTCAGAACATCTTCGACTGAAGAAGAACAGCAACGTCACACAGCACGAACACTGCCGTTCATTCAAGTTTGAATGTAGAGATACTTCCTGTTTATAACACTCATGTCCAGTAGATGGCGGTAATGTGACTTCAGATTGGCGGACTTAGAACCCCTAAAGAAGAAAGGGAGCAGAAACGGACGGAGGAAAAGGAGGAAGAGTAGATAGATGATTTTTGTAAGACACGTCCTTACACTGAAGGGTGACGACACAGAGGAGACGATGACGATTCACCGCCAGTCTGACGATTAATATGTTAATAACGCTGTGTTACGTCTACATGTGGGTGCGCTTCCATAAGTGCTACTCGGTGCTGATCCGTCAGACTCTGTCCAGACTGAAGAGCAGCCGCAGCAGCTTCGGTTTCACCCTCTGCTCCTGCTCCTGCTCCGGTTCCGCCTCCCACTGGGTCTCAGCACCGGCGAACAGCAGACCGACAGCGGGAGCCAACGCTGCTTCACGGCCGTGTGTCACCTCTGTTACCGGGGAGGAGACGGTTTTCCTGCAGCTGGGAAATAAGGCCGTTTACGTCACAGAGCCTCAGGTAGGAAACAGTTTTAGGTAAAGGTTGTTTTAAAGTGAATGACAGTCGGTGTTTACTCGTCATTGAGTACTTTAGAACTTTAGGTTATTGTTACTGGGACTAGTTTTAGGGATGAACTGTGTTGACCAATCAGGTAGCAGTCTATATTTACACGAGGTTTACTTGAATGAACCGCCTTTATTCCTGTCCAGCGTGTAATGAGAAAAACACAGAGAGAGTTGAAGAACAATTGTAATGTTTTGTTATTGTAAACTGTACTTTGAACACGACTTGTATTTAGTTGTTTATTGTAAAACCGGAAAATTGGCACGAGCTAAAAAGTTACGAGCTAGCCAGGAGTCGAACCTAGAATCTTCTGATCCGTAGTCAGACGCGTTATCCATTGCGCCACTAGCCCTATACGATGTAAGTGAATCGTCTCTGTGATGTTCAGATTACTGAATCGATTATTTTGTGTGTATTGAACTATTAGCGCTATACGATTCTATACGTTCCACCTCCCGTTTATACAAAAACATTACCTGTAAATGAATTAAGACACGTAAACTTTAACTCGAAGTAAAATCGTACAAATGTGAACATCGTTTCTAACAGGACAGAACCGTTTTCGAAATCGTACAAATGTGAACATCGTTTCTAGAACTGTTTTCAACTGTTTTATTGACTTAATATATCGTTAATTTATAGTTTATTTCAGGTTCTGCGTGTATTCATCAGTCTGTACGTTACTCATGTCCACCTTTGGTAGTTTGGTGGTGTTTGGGTTCCCTCTAGCGGTGTACAATGAAAACTGATTGTGGCTACAATCAGCTAATTAATGTGGCTGTTACAGCTAACAGTTAAAGAGAGACCGGCGGCTCCGAGTCGTCTGTTAATGACGCTGTTTTATTGGTTTGATTTTTCTCAGGTATGTGATGACATCAGCAAATGGACCGCGCTGTTAGGGTCCACTCTGGGCTGTGACCCACTAGTGGACAATGTGTCCTTCATCATCGAGGCCACGGGACACCGCGTGGGCTTCAACTCTGTGACACCAGAGAAGAAGGTATGGAGATCTTAAAAGTGTGACCGTGAACAGTCGTAGAAACCGGAAGTCCAATGATTGTGTTGTTGTGTCCGAGGGGTTCTGACCGGTACTGTGGTGTGGTCCAGGTGCTGAAGTGGTCCGACTGTTGTCTCCCTCTGGCCTGGTGTCCTGGTCACCCGTTCAGAGCCGTGGCCCAGGCCACAGTCGACGACTTTAGTCGACTCGGAGTGGCTTTTATCGAAGATCGTCTTCAGATGGACGATGGACTGGTTCCTTCAAAGATAATCCGTAGGTTGAATGACGTCATCAATCATGTCACGGTCTGAAGTTTGACTTCTGTTCTGTTTCAGTGACAGATTTAGGTCTAACCCTGATCCAGTCTCTGTTCTGTCTCCATCATCATAGGTGTTTATCTGATTTATCTGATTTATATCAGGGCTAATTTAATTTTTTTTTCTCACCTCTTTTCAGCTGTTGTCCTTCCAACCACGGCTCTGACTGAACTGTTGGAGAAACAGTGTTCCCTGAGCTCTAAGAGCTCCCCCTGCCAGAGGAGCAGCCTCCTCCTCCTCACCCCCAGGACGAGGAAGAGGGTGGAGGAGCGCCGTGGGTCAGAACCACTCCGTCTGGGGCCGGGGGCAGACCCAGACGATCGCTCCAGCGGCAGCCATCACATGGAGGCTCACGGACACCACCTCCATCTCTCCAGCTGCCACGAGTGTCTGGAGCTGGAGAGCAGCACCATCCTCTCTGTCAAGTACGCCTCGGCCGACAACATTCCTGACCTTCCGGACGATTCCTCGGCCGAGCTGGACACCAGAGCTGAGCTCCAGGACCAGGACCAGGACCAGGTGGACGCCGAAGGTTTTTCTGGATGGACCGAAGGGTCCGACTGGGACAGTAAACCTCCAAACGTCCTGGTGTTCACGGACGGTAACCAGGAGCGTTTCGCGGCAGTTCAGCAGCTTCTGTCCGAGTGTCTGGACATGGACACCAACATCGTTTACCCTCTTCAACCGCAGCAGGTTCTGAGCGACCCCTGGCTGGACAACACCAAGCTCCTCGTGGTAGCAGAGGAGTCGACGTTAACCCCTCAGTGTCAGACCTGCTTTCTCACCTACCTCAGCCAAGGAGGTCGGGTCCTGGGCCTCTCCTCCAGCCTCTGCCCCGCAGGCCTGGGTCTGGAGGTCAGGCCGGGGGCCGGGGGCCAGGTCAGGAAACTGAACTTCTTTAAGGAAGATGACACGGAGCTGCAGCTGAGTGTGTTGTCGAGCGGGAGGGTGTTTGTCCGAGACCCTCGGGGAGGAGGAGAGGTGGAGCTGTGGGGGGAGCTGAAGGGAGATGCTCCTCATCAGAGAGACATGGTCGTAGTCAAGGTCACACATGGAGAGGACGGGGGGGAGGCCGTGCTGTGTCAGGTACGGCTACTGCTTATTGACACTGTGGCTTCAGTTAGAAATGAGTTTATCAGCAGCAGGAGTGGAACCGACACTCAACTCAAGATACGATAAAAAGATTTAGAAAAAGATAAAAATCCATCAGCAACTGAAACTGTTCTCTTCAATAACAGAAGAGAAAAAAATCCAGAAACTCTGGAACATCTCAAGAGATCTGCTCTGGTCAAACTGGTCAAACTGGTCTGGTCTGGTTGACCTGGTTAACTGTCCATATAATAAACAACAAAAAAGATTAAAAGATAGGAACTGATAAGAGTTCCTTTCTTCATTTTTTTTATTCAACCAATGTCAATTGTCACCGATTTTTAACCCATTCATGACGCGTCGTTTTATCCCCACTGAGGAGTCAGTTCATGTCCTTACAGTAACACTAGTACTGATGGTAACACTAGTACTGATGGTAACACTAGTACTGATGGTAACACTAGTACCGATGGTAACACTAGTACCGATGGTTCTAGTGCTGCAGCTGTTACATCTGATTAAACCTTCAGACCAGGAAACACAAGTCGTTTCTCAGGGGTACTGATGGTAACACTAGTACCGATGGTTCTGTCGACAGTTCTAGTGCTGCAGGAAACACAAGTCATTTCTCAGGGTTCTGGACCTGTGACTGAGCCTGATTCTGTCTGAGCTGCTGTAGATCAGCT